ACACAACAGACAATGCCAATCCTTTTTCTCCCATTGTTCGCTCTTCCTGGAGTCTCTCTCTCCCAGGCATCCATGGGATAGTTCGCTCAACTAACTCAGGTTTCTTCTACAATGTTTTCTTCTCAGTGAAGCCCTATTATAGGCACACCAATTTCCGGCTTTGCTGTCCTCCATAAGATTTATGATTACCTGGCATATGGTGCATTTATTCCATTATTCATTATGTCTGTCTTCTCTCCCCATAATGCAAGCTCCATTGGAGGATTAACTTCTGTCTTTCTCCTTCACCTAAAATAATGCCTGCAACTTAGCAGATATTTAATGAAGAATTGTTAACTATTAATGAAGAAATACATAGAGATGAAGAAATACATAGAGATGAGTAAACTTAGAGGTTTTGATTCAAAGAACTCAATTCCTTCTAGCTCTGAAAGCTCCTGGTTCTATTGACACTGCATTGTAACCAAAGAAAGTAACCACTGTTATAGAGATTTAACATAAACAGGATTTCTTTATGATGTTGGCCCATATACTTTTTTATCAAAACAGGAAAAGTAATAGCAGTGATTTTTTTAACAGTATGGGTATGGCTGAGACCAATAAAAAAAACTTTGTATTTTCAATTTTTGATTAAAAGCAAGTTTGACTATCATTTAATTTTTATTCACTTAAATCAAGGTGCCATAAAAAATATTTTACATGGCTATACATGGGTAAGATTACTATTTCTTTTCATTAACCTAATACTTCCAAGTAAAAAAGTATACTTTTAAAAACAACTCAATATGCAGACTTATATTAGATATTATTCACAGTAGATAGTATGCATTCCTCAAATCATTAAAAGCATAAATTTCCCAGAGTATTTCTCAAAACCCACAAATAATATTAGTCACAACCTCAGAGTTTATTTTCTCATGTTATCATGTGTGGAACTTTCATTGTTTTTACCTTTTGAGATTAATATTAAATTCTGTAGAGGAGAGAAAAGGACTTTTCCTTGAACAGTTTTACCAGCTCTTACATTTTCTCTGAATCTAATGAAAATAAACAGAACAACACACCTGAGATATACTTTTAAAAGCATTAAATCCATCATGTTCTATGTTGATTCATTTGAACTATGCACAGGTGAAAAGAAAAATGGCTTGGATCATATATTTGTAAAGCCACGTAAACTTTTATCCTCCTTCAAACAAGCCCAAATTCCCAATGTAAATCCCACAAAGGGGAGAAAAGCTAACTTTGTTTTCTAATAGAGCTGTACCCAATAGCTCTCCTAGGCAATCATGCTGGCAACAAACAATAAAGAACCTGTCATAAAATAACATGTTTTTATGGTATGCTGCCAGGAAACCCAGCTTTGCAGGGGGATAAATGACACTACCTTAAATTACGGGCACAAAAGAGAATAGGAAATAAGGGATTTATTGCTTTAAAATCAAAACTAACAAACTTACAGCACTACATTGGGAAAAATATATAAAAGGCTTTGAGCCCACTAAATAACCATGAATGATGAGAAGGTGTGTGAGCTGTATATCATATGAGACCTGCTGTGACAAGCCTTATGAAAATGTCTTGAAATTGGCTTCCTTTTCTAATTTAGAGGAAAGAAAGGGACAAAAGATAGGATGAGGAAGGGAAAGCATAAGTAAGTACAATATAAGTGAGTCTTTTAGCATTAGTAACTCATCAAATGTTTTCAATTGCATTTTTTATTATGCAATCATTAGGCTACCTTCAACATCTGATAATACCTGTGAAGAGGACAATTGTGAAGAGGGTGAACTGGTACAGCTCTACCTCGCAGAGTATGTGTTTGTCACCACCCCCATTGCCCTCCAAGACCCCGAAAGCACAGGCAGTTTTTGTTGATTTTCAGTATTACCAGCAACTTTGAATTTTAGACAAACTGATAAGAAGTCCAAGAAGATAGGTCATAAAGTCAAAACAAAAGCCTAGGGACACTTCATCACCATTTGGTCTTCATCTGTGGACTTCTCCTTGACCACTTTTTGGTTTTTAAAATGTGGAGACCAATGGGAGAAGACTGAAAACCCTGCGAAGGGGAAAATTGATATGTATAAGAATTTCCAAACCAGAGTCCATCTGCCTGGAATACCGGACCTTATCTTCTCCTGGGTAGCTCTTATTCAGCCCCAAGATTCCTCACACATCATCTCCTTTAGGGACCATTGTTGACCTGCACACTCATATAGCCCTAGCCTCACATGATGCAGGAGGATTTCAGTGTGCTCCCATAGTGCATTTCACTATTGTGTTTCTCCTCATGTTATGTTCTGATTGTTTATTTACCTCAGGGCTTCATCCTCTAGACTACGGAAGACAGAATCTGCAATGCATTTGACTTTGTACACCCAGCATATAGGCACGCAATGAAAGTTTAAATTAAGAAACAAATAGGGTTGATGCCTAAGGATATATTTTTTATTGTACCGTATTCTCTTTTTTTGAACTTTACTTTGTTTGTCCACAAAGTGAACTCTGAAACATCTATGCAAATGACAAATGCCTTCCAAAATAAGAATGATGACACACTCTAAAAGGAAAGCTACATGGTTTCAGGTATTTATCTTTTGCCAAAAGAAAGGCTAGTTGATATAAAATAAAATGAGGTTGATTAAATATTTTAGGCCTAAAACTCTTTCCTACAGGAGAGTGGGCCTACTTCAAGTAGCTTCTTTAGCTGAGAAATGGACATAACCCTACCAGAACATGCTAGCTTGCAAAATTCTGCAAAGATCAAGTAGTATGAATTGCAAGCATTTTGAAGACTTCAGGTTGATATATTAGGCATATTGAATTGATATTTTAAAAGCCCAAATGAGCTTCTCTTACATAATTTTCTTCTTTGTCTTATCAGGGTGAAGGTTGAGAGATACATTTTAGTGGGAAGTTTAACATTGTCACTTCCAGCCTTTTAGTAGAGGTATGCGGCGGGGGGCTATAATCTTGATCTAGTGTAGTTATCATTTTCACTATCACCACCATCATCCACAATAGAATTTTAATTGGGCTCTAGGCTCAGGTATCTTTTGTGTTTCCTGGTGAAAAAGACTATTCTGAAGGAAGAAATTGATATATGCCCATGTTAAATACCTTTAATACTGACTACAGTACACCAATTTAGATAAGCTCTTTGGTGGACCAGATACATGGGTAAAGCCTGTCAGGTTTTTAACAGCACTCTTTCCCATGACAATCTGTACTGTGATGTGATACTAGACATTTTAGAAAACCCACAGTCAGCTATGACATCCTTGGCAAAACTATGATATAATGATATAATATTGAGACTTTAGTTTACTCTTCTAGCAATTAAGCAACTTAGTAGCAACTTAGCACCCCAAATTCAGAACTATAAAGAGATAAAATGTTTTTAAGGCCAATGAATTGATAAATACAAATTTTAAGTGCTCGATTTGTAGTCATCACAGTGAGGAGGTAATCAAAAGGCCCTTCCCACAGTGAGTACCCACGGTCGGGAAACAACACAGATATGACAGGAGTCCAGTGTTGCCTGAAAACCTGTCCAGCATCACTGCAGAGATCTTGCCGCACAAAATCTCAAGATGGCGCAACAGTAGTCCCATTGGCTTGCTAGCCCAGCCTCTCGAGGTGTGATAAGTCATTAAGTGAAGAAATACTCCCTGAAGAGTGTGCAAGCCAGGACAGTAATGCGGCAGTAACAAGCTGTTTTCTGTCCATCAGAGAATACAGAAATTTCACACTACCTTTCACACTAATCACAATTCTTCCCTCGAAAACAAGTTATTGGATCAATTCCATTACTGAGATCCCTGATACCTTTTTTTGAGAAGTACATGGAAACAATTCAAAATCATTGTGCCATCTTTGCCACCCTCCATGATATTTACATGCATTTTGTGACTGGAATTTAACAACCTAGTACCACTGAATATGAGAGAGAGAGAGAGAGAGAAGGAGGAAACCATGGTTATTATACTGAGCTCTAAATTATTTAATTTCCTCAAAAAAACTTGCCCTCTAAGAATATATTTTTTAAATTCCTGTCATAGTATTATAAAATATTTGCTCACAGGATTAAGCGAAAGTATAACAATTCCAAATGATAGAACTATAAGATAATAGTTGTCACAACTGTTATGTCATTACATAATCCCTCGCCTTTGAATTCATGGATCTCTACAATAAAATCATGAACAGGACTTTGAAATCCTTTATTTCTACCATATATCATGCAAAACTTGCTTCCAAATAAATGTTATACGGTTTATGTGAATTTCATTCTTTCTGCTCTGACACCATATGACTTTCTAACCTCATCTCCAACAGCCCTGCAGCTAGTGTTCCTCCCCCTACGTGCACACTGTCATGGACATTCATCATCTAATTACCTGGTCTCCATACTTTTGAATGTGGTATATTTATCCCCTTCATGTTTTTTCCCTTAGCTGGAATGCACTTTCTTCTCCTTTTGCTAATTTAAATCCTTCCATTTCAAAATTCATTGATTTCAAGAATCATGGAATTCTTGACTAAGTGAATTCAAAATTTATATTAACCTTACTTAGCATATTCTCATTAGCTACATAAGAGATGGATGGATGAATGGATGGGTAGATAGATAGATAGATAGATAGATAGATAGATAGATAGATAGATAGATTGGTATCACTAATATGAGTTTCTTTCTAAGTTGCTTCTTAAGAATTCTGGGTGCTCCAGATGGGTGTGTAACACCTGTGAGTAGACTTTCAACTTCTTGAGACCTAATTGCTTAACTGCTGCTGATTCTCCATTCCGTTTGACACATGCTGCGCTCAAAATAGGCACCAAAGGCTTTCTAAATGTGTGTTTGAGTAAATTTTTTTAAAAATGAATAAACATTTGTTGTCTGAGCTTCAGCTGATTATCAAAGATGTTTGAAATACTAGTTTTAGCAATCTGATACGGTGTTCCTCTCCCATCCTGTGTGATGTTTTTATACTTACTGGAACAGAAACTTGAGGATTCTCTGCAAGCTTTCCCAGTACAGCAAAGCCATTCACGTCAATGGGGCCTCTTGGCTTTATAGGTAAGGACTCAATCCTGTTGCAGTCCACGAAAAGAGTGGCCCTGCTGCTTTCCACGCTGATCATGAGCTTATGCCACTGGGCATCAAACAAGGAAGGCAAATTCGAAAAGGCTGCAGTTTGGAGATTCCCATCCAGTCCCTTGTAGGAAAATGCAACCGACTTTGTCTGGCCGTTAATCTTCACGCCAACTTGCTCCTTCCCCAGGGAATTCTGAATCTGCCAAATGCTCCAGTTCTTTTCAAGTGTACTTCCAGTCATCCGAAAAGTAGTTAAAAAGGAATATTCTTCAGGCAGTCCACTGGGATATAAATGCCTGCATAAAATTTTAAAATAGTAAATATAAATCTTGTTTTCTGAACTGCGTATTTACCATTTCCTGCTTATTTACCACTTTCCTACTTGTGCTATTTTAGAGTCTAGACATATAGAAAGGCTGCAGTGTGGAAAATGCAGAATTTGTTCTTTCATGACTGTTCACAGAACTTCAATCATTCGTGTACATTAATCCTCCATATGAAAACATACATTTTTTAAATCCTTCCCTCAGAGCTAAGAAAGGTTCCCAATGCCACAAAATTCCAACAATATCGCTATTTATGCTATCCAAAGAGCTACTACTCTTTCAGCAATTCTATCTCAGCCAAAAAACACATTCTTACAAAGTTCTTGGCAACATGTCTTTCATGAGAGAGAGGAGATTATTTAGAATCCTAATATCCATCACTGATTTATGAAACCTTTTCATTAAAGTGGCTTTTAATTTTTTAATGTCTCTGTGATGCATTATTTGTTATTTTTATAATTATTTGCATATTTTCCTCCACAGATATATTTGAGACCCACATAAGCATTTTGAGAATCACTAACTACAGAATCAGATTTTGTAGATTCATGCAAATTGTATTTAGAAGCTTTCACACACACTGAGGAAGTCTGTCTTTCCAGGGCGTTCAAAGTCTCATGTTTGAATAGCATCTGGTTGCTCACAGTGGATGTGTGACAAGTGAAAGGTGACAATTCTGACTTCATTACTCCAACCCAATTGTTTCTCAGTCTACTACCTATGCTATCATTGCTGCTTCCTTAGTGCATTAAACTAGCAACACAAAAGCGGCAGTGTGCCTAAGGTATCTCCAAGCTCTATGGAGACCATAATCTGGAAATCACTACCAGGATCTTTTGCTGAAGCCAAGCCACCAGGAGCTAAAGAATAATTCTTAACAGTCAGGGAACATTAAATGTAAATATCCTCTTCCAAGGACTTAATGCTTTCTACCTTCCTCTTCTAAGCATAGAAAAAAAAATCTAAGCAAAGAAGAAACACCAGGAAAACTAAATGCCAATGAATTTTGTTCACAACATTATCAAGTCTAACATTTTTGTATATAATTATGAGCCAGAACAGAGTTCCAAATAATCTTCGTTTGGGCCAAACTCTTGTTATGTAGCCCCCTTCTATTGAAAAACAAAAAGGAGAAAAAGCAGGAAGAAATATCTCGATGGATGTTGATTTCATTTTTTACAAACTAAAATACTAACAAATGCATGTACTTATTATATTAGCATATATGTCATTGCCAGTTACATGAAAATATATTGCTAGGTTTAGTGATTTCTATACTAGAAAATTCTTCATTCCAATAATGTTTAGCAATCCATAAAACTACTCAGCTTGCTAAGATTGTCTATTTTTACCCTGACTTTAACTGTACAACTTTATCATATTACTATCATAGCATAAAAAACTTTTAGCTTCTTTTTCTGAAAATTTTTTTATAAACCTTTAATAAAGTATTCTATCTCAAAAATATCATTGTTTTGCCCAAGTTAAAAATGCAAAACTTTTCAACTGGCTACCCTTATTATCCATGGCCTCCTTTTAGGTGACTAGTTGTATTGTGGTTATGGATAAGCTATTGTATTTATATGCATTTCTGTATGATCACTGGTGATGTACATTATTATTCTTACTGCAAAATTTTTAGTTCATTAAACATCTCATATTTGTCAGGAGTACAGGAGATTTTAACATATACATTTTAAAGTATTCAGTTCGGAGCTAAAGAAGAACAAAATTATACAAAAGTATTTTACATTATTTTTTCACAATGGAGCTAACTACTACTTCAATCCAGATCTTTGCTTGTAGCATATTTCCTGTTTGTCAATTGGTTTTTCCATATTTCCTTTGACTTTATATCTTTCATAATTATACTAACTCCAAACTAACCTCTTGAAAAGAAACTAAGGTTCACTAATGACAACATAATGTATTGATTATTATTTAGTTACAAAACCTTGTAGAAATTTGGACATTTAATTTATCTAACCTTAATAACTTTGGAGCTGGGAGATAAGTTTGTAAAGTTTTCTCAATATGTAATTTGCCAGGTATCCATTTATAAAGGCATTCTTTGATCATTCAAATTAATGATCAGGATTCACTAGACCCTTAAGGAGTTTACTTTCTATTTTCGTCCAAAGTAGTTATTGTTGAGGTGTGAGGTATTTATAAAAGGAAGACAATTTTTTTCTTGTAGTATTGGGAATCCAACCTATAGATTCATATTACCTAAGTATTTATCAATGGATGTATAGCGGGAAAACCTAGAATTGAAACTTCTTATTTTGTTTTGATTCAAGAAGCCACAAGCACATGGTCAGGTGACTCTTACACAAAGAAATGATGAGGTTAACTGAGGGATCTCTCCCAATTTGTGCTTCATTCAATCTTTCCTACTCAGTGAATGAGGAGATTGCGTTGAAAGTTTCCAACCATCTCTGACTTAGGGCATGTAACCTTAAAACTAAAAAAAGAAAGATGGAGAGATGTAGTCAGAATTGCTAAATTAATACCTCATTTACAAATATGTTATTAGACCAACAGTTTTTGTAGGTTTCCTTCTATGCATATAAAGACAATATGCATGTGTATAAAAATATAATTGAGGCTATCACACTAAATATTTTCCAAATCAGTACAGTATGTCAGTTTAATAAGATGAGAAAATTCATTTTACTGTTCACACTAGTAAAATGTACATGTAATTTTTATATACCTAAAATCATTTAAAAGTCTCACAAATCTAATTTATAGAACAGTTATCCTATTGTCTTTCCTGAACACCGCAGATTCTGCTCTTAAAACTATGCCATGCACACAGATAAGTAAGCCTAACAACATACATAATTTAAGAGATATGTCTGTAAATGATTTATTTCACTATGTTAAAATCTGCATGGAGTACTTGAAGTGGAGAAACATAAGGGTCTAAATAAAAGATTCAGAAGTCTTTGGACCTTGAAAGATTTGTTTATGACCTTAACCCAAAGAAAGCTAAGACTGTTTTAATGTAAACATAACATGTTTATAAGTAGAAGTTAAGAATACAAAACTACAGAGTTAGACTAAAGAACATTTTACTCAGCAAAAAGATAAATGTCTAACCCAGGCATGTGGCACATGCCTGTAATCTCACCACTTAGGAGGCTGAGACAGGAGGATTGCTGTGAGTTCAAGGCCACCCTGGGCTACATAGTGAGATCAAGACCAGTCTCAGCTACATAGTGAGACCCTGACTCAAAAAAACAAAAAAACAAAACAAAACAAAACAAAAAGAGGATAAATACCTATTAATTTTTAAAAATGATTGAGAATATTAATAAGGAGAAACTATTACTCCATCACATTGGTTTCTTATGCCATATAATTTTTTTCTTCCCACAAAGATCTTCCTAATGGTTTGTTTTCACTGTCTCTGAACCTATCTTCTCAAGCACAGAAGGTCCCTTTAAACCAAGAGTATCTTTTCTCTGAGATCAACTGCAACCTTTATCACACTTGTCACCCAGCTTCTGAATGAGTAGGGTGGGAGAGGCTTAAAAAGAAAGGATTCACCAAAGAGGAAATATTAATTGGCATATATTATCCTGCCCTTCTAGTACTCTCCACCACAAAGAGTAGTACTCACCTACCACCTCTGTGGGCCAGCCTCTGTCCAAGAACTTTTCATTCATTCATTCATTTAGGGTTTTTTTTTTCAGTCTTTGCTATTAGTCCAGGCTGGCCTCAAACTCACAGCAATCCTCCTGCCTCAGCCTCCAGAATGCTGGGGTTACAGGCATGTACCAGCACTTACTAACATTTGCTCCAGGCAGCAATCTCATACCATGGTTCTGGTATGATTACCCCTAATGATTATCCCTAATTATTATCTAATGATTATCCCTAATTTTACACCAAAACAACTACAACTTAAATAACTTCTCCCCAAATAGATTTTACTACATTTTTTTGGAATGCCATATACCTCAGGCCTCTTGTCTTACCCCAATTCTCTTTCTTAGTCCTTTTCCTACTTCCTTCTTCTAATTTCTTTTTTCTTCATTTTTAAATAAGTCTTACTGGTAAATCAAGAGTTTTTTAGTCTTTATGGAGCAAGAAGTGAAAGATGTAGGAAATACGAGACAATGATTGCAGCCTGTTTATTATTTAGGGGTGGCTGTAGGCATTAGAGGAAGATGATGATGATGATAAAGATGATTAGGAGATACAGAGACTGCACAACCTCAAGTTTACCAGTTTCTGAATTTAGAGTTCATGATAGTCTATAATATGCCCCAAATCACAGAAGAGAAAATTAGATCAGCAATTTGAGTTCTTATGTCATGCATTATTTTATGAAAGAAAGGAAAAACAAGATTTTGAAATTTACTTAAGAACACCACTGGCACTTCTGTACCCGAAAATAATGTATAAGCAAAACCAAAGGCTGGGGCTGGGGATTTAGCTCAGCAGCAAAAGCGCCTGCCTGGCAAGCGCAAGGTCGTGAGTTCGGTTCCCGGTACCGGA